TTCATCAACAACGCAGCAACTACTTCATCAAATTTTAAGGTTTCTTTTCCAAACAAAAGCGTGGTCACGATGTTGTCAAAAGATGAAGGCAATGAAGCCAACAAAAGCAGCGCCTTGTCCTCCTCTTCAATCTTCACATCAATGGATTCCAACTCTGTTGTAATCTTGTTGAATTCATCCAAGTGTCCATTAAAGTTAGCTTCCTCCACCATTTGGAGACCAAACAATCGTTTCTTCAAGTATAGCCTACTTGTCAACGATTTCGACTTGTACCGGCTCTCCAGCTTGTCCCAAATATCCACCGGGTCCGTCAAACCAAGAACCTCCCGAAGAGTATTATTTGCAAGGCATAGGCATATTGTACTTGTTTCCATGTCCTTCAAATCCTCCCACTCTTCTTCCGACAATTTTTCCGGTTTGTCGTTCTTCCGAGGTTTGGCCCACTCAGCATCCGTCATTTTTTCTGTCCTCTGAACCTTCACCTTCAGAGCTTTGATTGTCCCTTCCCGAGTAAGAACACTTTTAACTCGTTGTTGCCACAGAGTAAAATCGCCACGTCCATCGAAAGGTTCGACGGAAACATTCGAACTTTTTGCCGATGCCATTTTTTTCAAGTTCTCGACTTTCTTCTCTTACCGCTTAGAAATCCCTCCGTCCCAAATGTAACTTGGCTCTGATACCAATTGTTGGGATTTTAAGCGCGTAAGATACCGAAAAATATTGAGAACACCAGAAAAATAAGAGAACAAACACAAGAAGAATATATGAGAGAAAAAATTATATTTCCACTATTTCAGGACAATATACAAAAAAAACTCTCCCTGTTTACAAGTGCTAAATATCAGACACTTATAAACAGACTTTTCACACCCTACACCCGGATGTATTTTTCTGAGTAACTAAAACTAGTTACTCCCTACACTCACTCACACAATGTTGGTGATATCTTGTGTAGACCTCTCTCTTAACCTTCCTCTTTTTCCTTAGCCGTGTGTATTCTTACTATGAAGACCATGCATGGCTTTTAAAGCTAAGGGAAGTACTCCTGCAAATGACCACAAGCACAAGAGTCCAAAATTTGATTCCCTTCCATCAAAAAAATCCACACGCAATTTGATTCCTTTGATTTCTTTCTTTTCTTTTTTTTTGTTTCTTTTGATTATTTAATCAAATATCCTGTAGAATTTTAGCGGAACTGATCTCGTTTTCCATTGATCATAAACCGATATATATACAAGTACATAAATGGGCTACAAGTACAGGCCCAATTACAATTATCTGCTAACACTCCCCCTCAAGTTGGAGCATGAAGATCCTGAATGCCCAACTTGAACAACAAGAAATCAAAAACATTTTTGGGTAATGGTTTAGTGAAGATGTCAGCCAATTGATATCGCGTAGGAACATAGCGAGTAGACACCTCATGGCGCTGAACAGATTCACGAACCGTATGACAATCAACATCGATATGCTTCATCCGTTCATGAAACACTGGATTTGCTGCAATATACAAAGCTGATTGATTATCACAATATAAACGCGGAGGATATAAAATAGGGACACCTAACGCGCCCAAAATGTCATGCATCCAGCGTATCTCAACACACGTGTTGGCCATGGCCCTATATTCAGCTTCTGCAGAAGATCGCGCCACGGTAGTCTGTTTCTTCGTCTTCCATGACACCGGGGAAGTGCCCAACATAATGAAATATCCGCTAACGGACCGGCGAGAGAGAGGGCAACTAGCCCAGTCAGAGTCACAGTAAGCAGTAATCTGAAGATTACTAGTAGCACTCAGAAAAATTCCCTGACCCGGATGGCCTTTGATATAACGCAGAACACGCAAAGCAGCATTCATGTGATCAAGAGTTGGTGCCTGCATAAACTGGGACAAAACATGAACAGAATGACAAATATCCGGACGAGTGATAGTAAGATAAATCAGGCGGCCAACGAGACGATGATATCGGGCGGGATCATGAAGGAGAGGAGCTGCCGAGGTAGCTAGGCCGTGCGCCGTCGGCATGGGAGTGCCCGCCGGCTTGCATCCCAACAGCCCGGCCTCTTGTAAAATCTCCATGGCATATTTGCGTTGACAAAGGACCATGCCTGACGGAGACCTGGCACATTCAATCCCCAAGAAATATTTTACAGGACCCAAGTCTTTAAGCTGAAAACATCGGTCCAAGTATCGCTTAAAAGAGGAACACATCGAGGAATTATTCCCTGCAACCAAGATATCATCAACATA